AGGGTTTAGGGTTTAGGGCTTAGGGTTTAGGGTTTAGGGTTTCTACTATGCTCCCTAGCTACTCCTTTGAAAAGCCAGCCCGGAGCCTGCACTTCGCTCAGAAAGAGACCCTGGAAAGGGTGACGGTTTATTGTGGGGTGGGGGGGGGGGGTTAGGGTTTAGGGTTTAGGGTTTAGGGGTTAGGGTTTAGGGTTTAGGGTTTAGGGTTTGGAGTTTGGGGTTCGGGGTTTAGGGTGTTTAGGGTTTAGGGGCTTAGGGTTTTAGGGTTTTAGGGTTCAGGGCTTGGGGTTTAGGAGACCCTTTAACAGACCTGTTGGAGATCTGCTTCCTCCAAATCAGGTTGGCCCCTCAAGGCACTCAATCCTCTTAAGCCCAAGTTCGAGATATGCCAAGTTCCTAAACCCTCTAGCAACGCTCTAGACCGCAATGAGCCTCTATGGTGTTGCGGAAAGATCGTGCCTCTTGGCTTTTTGCACCCTAAACCTTGCAGCACCCTGAACCCTCAGGACTATACTGCATGCTGGTACCTGCAACACTGAATGCAGCATGGAAGGGCACCTAAACCCTAAACCCTAAACCCTAAACCCTAAACCCTAAACCCTAAACCCTAAACCCTAAACCCTAAACCCTAAACCTAGTGTTGAGCTCAGAGCGTCCGACCCCAGCGATTGGAAAGCCGGCCCAGTGGGACACTAGCCAGCATGCCGACGCATTGCATGACGATGGCCAACAGGCCGATCACGGTCTTTCCTTGGGTTCAGGGTTCAGGGTTTGGGGTTTAGGGATTTAGGGGTTTAGGGGCTTAGGGGCTTGGGGGCTTAGGGGCTTAGGGGTTTAGGGGTTTCGCGAACCTAAATCACCCGAAGCCCTTAACCCCAAGCCCGGCTTTGGGGCCTAGTTCTTAGGTGTGCAGGGCTTGCGGTTAAGGGTCTGGTCTTTTGGGTCTAGGGCGATCACTGGTCTGCTTTGTCGGCAGCCCTACCCAGCGACATGAAGCCCTAAACCCTAAAAACCTAAAATACTAAAAACCCTAAAACCCTAAAACCCTAAAACCCTAAGACCCTCAAACCCTAAAACCCTAAGACCCCTGAAACCCTAAAACCCTAAAACCCTAAAACCCCTAAAACCCCTAAAACCCTAAGACCCCTAAAACCCTAAAACCCCTAAAACCTCTAAAAACCTAAAATTCCTAAAGCCCTCAAACCCTAAAACCCTAAAACGCTCAAACCCTCAAACCCTAAAACCCTCAAACCCTCAAACCCCTCAAACCCCTCAAACCCCTCAAACCCCTCAAACCCCTCAAACCCCTCAAACCCCTCAAACCCCTCAAACCCCTCAAACCCCTCAAACCCCTCAAACCCCTCAAACCCCTCAAACCCCTCAAACCCCTCAAACCCCTCAAACCCCTCAAACCCTAAAAAACCCTAAAAAACCCTAAAAAACCCTAACAAACCCTAAAACCCTAAAACCCTAAAACCCTAAAACCCTAAAACCCTAACCCTAAACCCTAAACCCTAAACCCCAAACCCTAAACCCTAAACCCTAACAAGCACAGAATCTTCTGGACTCCGTCTCCACATGCATCATGTCCCGGAAGTAGTAGTACCTGTTCAGGGACATCCCGAACATGAATGAGAGGGGCTGGATATGCTGAGGCCTTTAGGGTTTAGGGTTTAGGGTTTAGGGTTTAGGGTTTAGGGTTTGGGGTTTGGGGTTTGGGGTTTAGGGTTTGGGGGTGTACGATATTTGGGGTACCGTACTGGGGTCCTTTTTTTGTAAAGGAGGCCTACTATTTAGTCTGTTTTAGGGTCCCCTACCTTCGTAAACCCCCAGGTTGCTGAGACTGACAACAGGGTTCAGGCGATCGGATGCCCCATCTTTGAGCCATGACTCTCAGCTCAAGCCCCTCTCCTAGGACCCAGAGTAGGGTTTAGGGTTTAGGGTTTCAGGTTTAGGGTTTAGGGTTTAAGGTTTAGGGTGTAGGGTTTGGGGTTTAGGATTTAGGCCCTGAACGGTCCGGAGTATGCGGCGTCAAGGAAGAATATGCACAGCATTCGGGCGGAAAGGTGCCCTGAGAATCCATTTTTCGCGTGACTTAGTTTTGGGCGTAGGGTGTAGGGCTTAGGGTTCGGGGACGAAAGCTGAGTAAATCAAACTTTGGGCGGGCAAGTTCTTTCATATTTCACTTGGCTGCACTCAGGAGGGTAGCTATAAATTAAACTTTTGGCTGCCTTAATAAGAAGCCCAATAAACCCCAAAAAAGGTAAGGATCTAAAGTTACAGTAAAGTACCACAAAGTTCATATAGTACGACAAAGAGACCCCCTGCGCTCAGATATCGCAATCAGCACCTCTCTACGCCAAAGTCGTAGACGTAGCCGGGGTGTATAGGGTCCAGGGTTTACCACCAGGGGAACTTGCACCTTTCCTTAGCTTGGGTGCAGCTTCTGGGTTCCTTGGGCTTGGGGTTTACGATGCCCTTGAAGACTTCCTATAGCTGTCTACTATAAGAAAACCGGCAGGAAATAAGCGCAGAGGGCACATGAAGGCAGCTACCGACGTCGAGACGTAGTAGCACATCCGTCCAGCACACACCCATGCGAAATCGGCATCTTTGGCAGGGTCCTGGGGGTGGTTTTTCGCGGTCACCCTCTCATTCCCCAAATCTAGTATAATCATTATAAGGATCTCCAAAACAGGGGCAGCTACTTTAAAGGGAAACCTTGGGATGTTACTCCTTATACTAACAATCCTTAATAGGGAATATAGTACTCCCCCCCTTTTAAGGAGCTGTTCGCAAAAAGGACACATCCCAAGGGAAACCCAAGCAGTATCTGCCGAGACTCGATGAGATACGTCCTCCTGAGGTCTGCCAGACTCAAGGCAGTGTTGGTGGTGTTCAGTGATGACGTTTCTGTCGCACAATAGCCTGGATAGCAGCAAGTCAATTGGGGGAATTTGTCGGTGTGTTTAATAACTTGTTCGGGTTTAGGGTTTAGGTCCTACGCCCCCGCCCCCCAAACTTAGGGTTTAGGGTTTAGGGTTTATCCGATCTTAGCCCTCAAACAGTGCCCCACTATAGGGCTGAACCATTGAAAGCTTAGGGGAGCGTGTTGGGTCTCCCTTGGAATAGTGATTTTCAGAACTTCTAGCTCGTCCCCTAGAAATGTGCCCCATGCGTCTTCTGAAGAAGCTACAATGTCCCAAGAGCCTCAGCACGGGCTTGAATTCTTGTTTTGTTAATCCAGAAAGTGCCATGAATGCCTACTCAGCCGAGATTGTAGAGAATGCCTGCATATGAGGCTTTGGGACTCTCGGGTTTTGGGTTTAGGGTTTAGGGTTTAGGGTTATTCATTTCTCCGACGCTTCGAGACGGTTGCATTGAGATGCCGTGCACGTGTGGTGGGTGAGGCGATGGTCACCCCAAACCTTACATTAGTTGCCTCCCTTGTGGCAACAGCAACCAACATGAGGGAGGTGAATTCACCGAAGGTTTAGGGTTTTGGGGTTTTGGGTTCACCCTAAACCCTAAACCCTAAACCCCTAAACCCTAAATCCCTAAACCCCTAACCCCTAAACCCCTAAACCCACGTATCAGGTCACATATCATGCAAAGCGCCGGGGCGACTCCGACGCTTGTTAGGGTTTCTGAAGCTCCCGTGTTTGAAGTCTGGGTTGCGCGTATATAACCTTGCTAGCCCAGGAACCATATTGTAAGGATACTTCGGGATGTTCTGCCTTACACTAACAGTCCTTAATGGGGATCATAATGAAGGGTCCATATGAAGGACAATGAGTATAAGGGGGAACATCCCAATACATCACATTGGGTCGCCCAGTAACCATATCTTGATTTAGGGTTTAGGGTTTAGGGTTTAGGGTTTAGGGTTTAGGGTTTAGGGTTTCGGGTTTAGGGTTTAGGGTTTAGGGTTATGAGGCCTACTTGGAGGTTCATGGTGCTTGATAACCAATTGTAACTGTACCTACAACTGTACTCATAACCATATTAGGGCACTTTAAGGGGCTTATGAGTGGGTTATATGTGCAGTTGTAATTGGTTCATAAGTACCCTGAACCTCCAACCCCCCCTCCCTAAACCCTAAACCCTATACCTAAACCCCTAAACCCTAAACCCTAAAGAACCTCCGCAAAGTTCGGCCCAAGACACAGACGAGCATGGACACCACGAGAATGGTGGCCACCTCTGCTGCCCCCAAACCGCAAAGAGCGGCTCACAAGGCAGAGGCAGGGGTCAGCTTCTGGCATGAGGGCCCTAAACCCTAAACCCTAAACCCTAAACCCTAAACCCTAAACCCTAAACCCTAAACCCTAAACCCTAAACCCTAAACCCTAAACCCTAAACCTAAGGGGCGGTATGGTATTCACCCAAACAGGGAAGCAGAGTTCAGAGGTCTGGGACAGCCGGGCCTCAAATCGAGGTTGTTGAAGGAGCTTTAGGGGGTTTGGGGGGGTTTAGGGTTTAGGGTTTAGGGTTTAGGGTTTAGGGTTTGGGGTTTAGGAATGGGAGTTTAGGGGGTTTGGGGGGTTTAGGGGGTGTGGGAATTGTTTGACAGCGACTTCCCAAAGCGACAAGCCCTAAACATCCCTAAGCCCACGCTGACCCAGAGAGAGAAAGCTGCAGCCAAGAACATCGTAGGGTAGTTTGAAGGCTCATATGGGCCCTTAATTCCGGGGACAGAGGGTGTGCCAGGCTTTTCGTGCGAGAGCCAAGTTGGCTGAGTCGAAATTCGGAAGTCACCGGCAACGTCTTTCTTTCCCAGTCACCTGTCCGGCCCATGCCTTCGGCATGCTTGTTCATGCCCTTAGGGACGAAAGGAACCCTAAAATTGGGGTCATATACCCTGCGTACTATAATTCCTGTTAAGGTATATGAACCATAAACCCTTTTAGGGTTCATTTAGTCCCCAAGGGCTCTTTGTAGACAAGAACGCGGAGGGTGAAAATTAACCGAGCTGCCACATTTCACCTCTGCGGCTCGTCCTAGAATGTGTCCAATGCGCGATTGCGTGTGCCCCACTCGTGATGCAAGCTATCTGCTAGCCGTGAAACATGTTGCCCTATTTTGAACACGACCTGTGGGGCCGCTTTGCTTGCTGCTGCCAAAGCTCTTACTCCGGCCTCGCCGATTCTGTAGCACTTTCGGAGTTCGAAACGTCTCAAGGCCTTGCATGCCACCACCGCTGCAGCCAGAGCCTCGGCACCGGCGTCACCGATGTCGTCGCTTGCGACTTCAACTTCTGCCAGCGCCTTGCAGCTGGCCATGGCGGAGGCCAGAGCTGCAGCCCCCTCATCCCCAATGCCATCCCCTTCCACCCACAGAGACATCAGCTTCTCAGGGCGAAGGCGTTGAAGGCCCCGGGCGAGGTCGAAGATGCTCGGCCCGAAGGTGAAGCCCTCTGGAGGCTTGCGTACTTCGAGGCTTTCCAGGTTCACCAAGTGGGGCAGGGCCGTCGCCAGAATCGCCATCTCCCGCTGGGGCAAGGAGTATGCAGCAAGTCTTCGGCGCTGCCTGGCCTGCTGAAGGAAAACTTCCTCCTGAAGTTGGCTCACGAGTCCTGCATCGGAACGATGCGTGAAGACCAAGACCAAACCATCCGCAAGTGCCTGCTCGCCTCGCCTCACCCGCTCCTGAAAGTCCTCCGGGGCCATGGGGGCGTAGCCGTAAAGCCTGTCTTTGGTGGACATCCATTGCACTTCAGCAATGCACCACCCGCGCTGCCCGTACGGCGTGCTGTTGAGGACCAGCTCACTTCGAGGCCTCTCCTCAAACTTGCCCGTCGCCTCACAGTACATCCCGATGCTGCCCGACATAGTCTTCTCGCTCTCGGGCGTCAGCTCCTCGAGACGGACGACGCGGTTAATGTGGTCATGGGCATACAGCAAATGCATCGACCTCATTGCCTTCTTGAAGAGATGCTCTTGCTCGTCGTTGCGCCTGTACTGGTGCAAACACATGAAGTCGAGGAATATCCAGCACTGACGCTCATGCTTTCTCTTCTCATGCTTGCATTCTTCCCGAGACAGGCCCAGGCTCTCAAGTTGCCGCAGTAGGCTTCGCAGCTGCCAGCCCCATGGATCTGGGTGCTGCTGAGCCTCCCACGTGTGCGACACGGATAAGATCGCGCTCTGATTCTGCTTGAGAGGTCCAAGGTATAAGTTTGGATCCTGGAGTTCCTCCATCGTGACCAATGCTGTCCGCATCTTGCGATTTGCATCCTCGAACATTTCCCTCTCCGCCTCCTGCCGCCGTGGCCACACCCGTCCTTCCTTGGCAAGCTTGAACAGAAATTCGACCCGCACCGGTCTGATGTTCGCCTCGACGAGGAAGCTCTGAAGATCCTTCGGATTTGTGAGGCTGTACTCCTCTGCCTTCTGTGGCCCTGCGGCTGTCTCGCCCTGTGTGTGGGTGGAAGTCTTCTCAGTGCCAGTGCCATGCAAGGCAAGCAGGTTCTTGACGTACGATCTCGAGATCTCTGAAACCGCCTCTGTTTCCTGCTCCGTTGCAGCTCCGATTTCGGAAAGCTCCTGCCGTAGTGAGCTCGGATCCATAGCAAAGCAGCCTCGTCACTGCGCACAGGTCCTGGCAACTATCGAGCTTTGGGTCGGCATCCGCACAGAGGGAGCCCCTATGCCCCATATACAACTATATAGTATGATACTGTACATTGGCCTTAAAAGGGTTCCGATGCAGGTACTTTTGTAGCCTAAGTAGACACTGTAACCAAATAGGAACATGGACCCTTACAGGGAACTGCACGGCTGTGTGCTATCTGATGCAAGGTTTTGCGCAAGCAGGAAGGCTGTGCAAGTCTTCCAGCCGGTGCTCCGGAGGGTAAGCCACACTCAAGCGCCACCACCTAACCCCTCACCCTAAACCCTAAACCCTAAACCCTCAACCCTCAACCCTACTGTTCCAGGCCTTCAACGAACCGTACCACCAAAGCCCCATCGAGTCGGCACAGGAGCCGACTTTGCGTCAGGGACGTGAGCTTGGCGCATAAAGCATCAAGGGAGTCATACTCGGACTCGTAAGGTTTCGGGTTTGGGGTGTGGGGTTTGGGGTTTGGGGTTTGGGGTTTAGGGTTGCTTGACCCTTCAAGACGTTTCCCTTCATAGACTCCTTGTTTGGGGGTCGTAGAGTCCTTGTATGAGCACTCATCACTGGAGTTTATCCCGGATATACGGAAACTACAGTAAGGTTTATGGAATCATAGTGCTAGAAACATGTGTATTTAAGTAGATACCCCAAGCCCCATTTAGTGTGGATCCTGTGTTCTTATACTTCCAGAATAGTACTACGAACGGACCCTCTGAGCGAGCACCCTCAACCCTAAAAACCCTAAAACCCTAAAAGCCCTAAAAACCCTAAACCCTAAACCCTAAACCCTATCAGGTCCAAGAAGCATAGATCAAATAGTGCACCTGGATTGGCATCTCGCTGGTGAGGATGACGATCGTCATGGAAAGTAAGGAGCCGAGGAAACTGGGACGCACTTTGCTTACTTCCAGAGGTCTTAGGGCTTCTGGGTTTAGGGCTTAGGGTTTGGGGTTTAGGGTTTAGGGTTTATGATTTAGGGTCTAGGGTTCGAGACCGGGACGCTGTGGGAGTGCACTTTTTGCTATTTGTTTAAAGACCTTTTAAAAACACTCTCACAGCGTACCCGTATTGTATATAAACAAAATCACGAGTCATGCACAACATGCAAGTGCGCCAACACAAAGCAGCGAAACGGTGTATGTCCTGACCTGAGTTACTGTCCCCGTTTTCTAAATAGATGGGCCACCTTTATTGGAATCCTAGACACAACAATATGAATCCTCGATTTAAATCTATAGGAACCCTATTTCAAATTAATCGGAGCCGAAAAGTCAACAGGAAGCCTCTTAAAGTGAATTGGAGGAACCCTGCTGCAATTAATACGAACCAATCGGACTCCTATAAAACATTTGTGAACCCTTAGAAGAATGATAAGAATCCGACGAAAACGAACATGAGCCTAAACCAATAAGGACCCCTTTAAAGCGAATGAGATCCCTATTGATATTCGAACGAATCCCATTAACATGAATAAGAATCTGATTCAACTTGATGGGAATCTTGTTACATGAGTGGGAGCCGTATTCAAATAATGAGGAACCCTATGAACCTTTATTGGAATCCTATGAAAATACACTAGGAATCCTCTATTGCATTATCGGAACCGGATAACGGTTAATAGGAAGGAAGCCGCTTAAAATGAATAGGAACCCTTGACAAATCAAAAAGAACCCGGGTTACAATTCACAGGAATCCTATTAAAACGGGAGAATCTTACTAAAATGAATAGGAACCAATAGGCCTGCAAAACAATAGAATCCTTTAACAAGAACAAATAGGAATCCTTCTAAACAAATCTGAGCCTAATCCTTAAAATTAAGTAAAACCCTTTGCGAACCCCACTAACATGAAGAAGAACCCTGTTTAACTTGATAGGAACCTTATTAAATTGGTAGGAGCCTTAGGGCGTGATGTCTTAAAATATGTTGCTAAGGTACAGTGTTTATGTAGTCTGTTTCTTTTTTTTTGCGTTTTTTCTGTGAAAAAGTGCACTCCCACAGCGTCCCAAAATTCTAGGGTTACGGGCTTAAGCCTTGCAGCCCTGAGCCGCAGTAAACAACTCCCTTGGCTTGTTGCCTCCTGCATCGGGTCTCAAGGGTTTAGGGTTTAGGGTTTAGGGTTTAGGGTTTAGGGTTTAGGGTTTAGGGTTTAGGGTTTAGGGTTTAGGGTTTAGGGCAAGTACTTTCGCAGCTGGGAGCTTGAGACTTTGTCAGGTCGTACAAGATTCCAAAATCGCAGGTCTCACAATGCTTAAACCCTAAACCCTAAACCCTAAACCCTAAACCCTAAACCCTAAACCCTAAACCCTAAACCCTAAACCCTAAACCCTTTCCTCACGCCTGTCTCATGGTACTTACTGCGCTTGCATCGCCGGTGAAGGAAGAGGGCTGAAGCAAGCAGCAGAGACGTACACCGACGCTGCCGACTCTGCTCCTGGAACTTACCCTAAACCCTAAACCCTAAACCCTGAACCCTGAACCCTGAACCCTAAACCCTGAACCCTAGACCCTAAACCCTAAACCCGTGAAGAAAATCAACGCCAGGATCCCGAGACTCCAAAAACCTACACCCTATGGTCATCTAGCCAAATCTGGAGCACGGGCTTGCGGTTCAGGCATGAATAAGCACCGAGCCCTCCAGAACAGGGCCTGGTGTAGGTGCTAAAGAAAGAGACAAAGAAAGAAAGAAAGAAGAACAAAAGAAATAAAGAAAGACAGAAAGAAACAATGCAAGAAAGAAACACAGAAATAAAGAAATAAACAAAGAACGAAAGACATGAACATATATACATGTACCCAATCCGAATTGCATAGCATCTTGTGTGCATGCTGTAAAACATGTTACAGAACAAAGGTACACCTTCAGAGGCTCACCCTAAACTCTAAACCCTAAACCCTCGCTTTATTCCAAGTCGCGTATACATAGCGACCAGGCCACTCACGACCGCCTCTGCCGCAGGGCCATTGGGGGGGGGGGGGGGGGGAGCAAACCAGGGAGCCCCAAAATCCCTTAATTCAGGAAGAGCCTTTTTGAATACTGGGCTTAGGGTTTAGGGTTTAGGGGAGTTTTTAGGGTCTCAGCCCATTTTTGAAACCAGACTCTCTACGTCAGCTGGAACGATGACAGTTGCATCGACTTCATCCAAGAAACTCAGCGTGACATCCAAGACAGTCAGTATGCAACCAGGAAGATCCCTCAACCCTAAACCCTAAACCCTAAACCCTAAACTCTAAACTACGAAACCCCAAACCCGAAACCCTAAACCAGACAGTCTTGAATGTTGGGAACTGGGGTCTCTCTTAAACTCGATGGCAAAACTCCCGACTCCAAGCCCTATCCCAAAACCCTTTCTTCAGGTATGTTCCTCAATCAAGTACCAGACCCAAGAGTAACCTACGACTGAATTTAGGGCTTAGGGTTTCGGGGTGATATAGGAGCCTGAAGAATTAGAATATATATATATATATTTTTTTTTTGGGGGGGGGTAGGGGGTTAGTATAGTAAAGGTACAAGGGAACCAAAAGGGAATGCCACTAGTAGTTATTCCGACCCCTCTAAACCCTAAACCCTAAACCCTAAACCCTAAACCCTAAACCCTCTATTGCCCTTTTTGGTTTCAAGGGGCTTCTAAGAGAACCTAAGCCCTATGGAAAGGGAATACGTCTCCCCGAGGTCCACACCGCAAGGCTTGTGTTTAGGGTTTAGGGTTTAGGGTTTAGGGTTTAGGGTTTAGGGTTTAGGGTTTAGGGTTTAGGGTTTAGGGTTTAGGGTTTAGGGTTTAGGGTTTAGGGTTTGGACACCCCCCTAAGCTTTAAAAAAACCCTAAACCCTAAAGCCAAAAAAAACCAACAAGACCCGCACCCCACAAGCCCCAAATGATACGGTTTCCGACACCCGCCCGAAACTCCACCCAACACTCCAGAGTAAATGCACCCAGAGAGCCGAAGACCTATCAACTGAGGAATTTACGGGGTTTAGGGTTTAGGGTTTAGGGTTTAGGGACCGAATTCCTATGGACACTACAGCAAAGCACCTTGTCAGACCCGGACGATTCCACGGTGTCCAGGAAGTCCGCTGGCAGCCCGCATTGGGCCGCGTAGACGCCGTTCCTGGGCTGCATATGAGTCATATGTTTGAAAGTCGTTTAGGGTTTAGGGTTTAGGGTATATATTTAAAAGAAGACGCCGAGCCCCAACGCTAAACGCCCCAAAGCCCAAACCCTACACCCGTGGGAGTTACTCCAAGGTTTAGGGTTTAGGGTTTAGGGTGTAGGGTGTAGGGTATATGTTTAAAAGAAGTTTTCATGTGCCGCATGTAAAGGAAGAAAGGTGGGGTGGGGATGCACTTCTAGGTGAAAGTAGGCGAAAGTGAGTGGGCGAAAGTGCGAGTTCTGAGAAAATACTCTACTAACAGGGCCTAGTGTCTTCATCTTTTTGAAAACGGGATAACTTCATTTAGCGTAGTGCAGCATCATTGGCAAACAACATCGTAATATGTGTATGTACAAGCATAAGTTTAAGTATATGTATATGCATATGTATATGTATATACACATATATACATATGTGTATATACATGTATATGAATGTATATATATATATATATATATATATATATGTGTGTATATAAACATCGTGCACAGTACAGCAAAGGCCAATAGCAACGTCATGTTGTAGCTACGTTAAACTGCGAAGTGGGGGCTTGCGTTTGGGCGCGGGTCTTTGACTCTCACCTGCCACCTGCCGACTTGGTTGGTTTAGGGTTTAGGGTTCAGGGTTCAGGGTTTAGGGTATGATCGCACTTGCACCGGTCCCACGCACTGCAGTGTCAGGCGTGGGTAGGGTCTCGGACATGTTGTAGTCCACAAGAGTCTATGTAGGCACTCAGCCACATGTGGGAGTGCGGGACGTGATCCCCGTCTTGGGGGTCTGTTAAGCCCTAAACCCTAAAC